GTGAAACCCCGTCTCTACTAAAAATACAAAAAAAAATTAGCTGGGTATGGTGGTGCACACCTGTAGTCCCAGCTACTCAGGAGGCAGGAGAATTGCTTGAACCCAGGAGGCGGAGGTTGCGGTGAGCTGAGATTGCGCCATTGCACTGCAGCCTGGGTAACAAGAGGGAAACTCCGTCTCAAAAAATAAATAAATATATAAATAAATATTGAGGAAAGTTATTTCTATGTGCATGTCCATGACTGCATGGCAGAAAACATAAAAGACTAAAATAATAATTAAAAAAAAAAAGGAGTATCTAGTAAGGCTGAAAATTAAGAGTATCTAAATGTTAAAATGCCAGTAAAACAATAAACACCATAACACAATTTTAACACAAGCCACCTTAAAAGAAGGTAAATTCAAGATTTATAAATGTTTAATACCTAAAATGATCAATACCTGAAATATTTTAAGAATCCTGAAAATCAATAAATGAGATAATGCAAAAGGAATAGAGCAAATGCATCATTAAAAAGCACAGTGAAGAAAATACGATTGGCCAATAAACACAAATGAAAAGATGCTTGACTCAGTTGTAATCAGGATTTTTTTTTTTTTTTTTTTTTTTCACTTGCACATGCAAAAAATATGTATATATATATATATATATATATATATTTTTTTTTTTTTTTTTTTTGAGACAGGGTCTGACTCCGACACTCAGACTAGAGTGCGGTGGTGTGATCACGGTTTACTGCAGCCTCAACTTCCCAGACTCGAGTAATCTGTCCACTTCAACCTTCCAAGTAGCTGAAACCACAGGCACATGCCACTACATGCGAATATTCCAAGTAGCTGAAACCACAGGCACACGCCACTACATGTGAATAATTTTGTAGAGACGGGGTTTTGCCATGTTGCCCAGCCTGGTATTATACTCATGGGCTCAAGCAATCCTGCCTTGGCCTCCCAAAGTGTGGGGATTACAAGTATAAGCCACTGTGCCTAGCCCAGTGTAATAAACATTGAGACTGATAGCAGAGGTAGGGAAATATGAATGCTCATATTCAATGATCGAAGGGATTCAAAACAAACTGGTGGAGCCACAATTTGGCAATAAGCAGTGAAGCTGAACATGTGTACAGCCTACAATGAACAATTTCATTTCTAGGTAACACCTTAGATTCTTGACTCTTTAAGGAAATCAGGAAATACACAAAATGGTATTCAATATAGCATCTTTATTACCTCAGAAACTCATTTATGTCCTTAACCATCATTTAAAATAATATTTAAACGTGTTTAATACAAACATATTGAGGATTGGGCTGGAATATTTTCTATTCTATAGAAAAGCACTAACCCTCCATTCAACCAGGTAACTAGTTTCAGAGCACGATGTGAGCTGCAAAAAATTGCCCTGACTTACTCCTGCCCAACACATCCACTCACCATAATGTCTAAAATTAAATCCATGAAGACATTCATTGTGGTTATGGTAGCATCTATGAAAACAGTTCCTATTCCAGATATTGGGACTGAGAGTTCCATAATAAATTTGAGATACACTCAATTAAATAAAAATGTCTTTACTACATCTTTGACAAACTGATAATGGATATTTTGAATTCCTCAAAAGTAGTTTGTTTGTTTGTTTTTGTTTTTTTGAGACAGTTTCACTCTTGTTGCCTAGGCTGGAGTGCAATGGCGCAATCTCGGCTCACTACAACCTCTGCCTCCCGAGTTCAAGCAATTCTCCTGCCTCAGCCTCCCAAGTAGCTGGGATTACAGGCATGCACCACCACGCCCAGCTAATTTTGTATTTTTAATAGAGACAGGGTTTCACCATGTTGGTCAGGCTACTTTTGAACTCCTGACCTCAGGTGATCCGCTCACCAAGGCCTCCCAAAGTGCTGGGATTACAGGCATGATACAACGGTGTCCGGGCAAAAGTAGATGTTTTATGCCTTGCTTCATTTGCCTATTTTCCCAAGAAATCTTTTTTTCTAATACCATCAAGAATTAGTATTCCTTGAAGCAAACTTCTGGAGAATATTGAATTTAGGGCCCAAACACAGGCCTTCTGGAGGTATTTGGTGCTTGGAAAAGGAAACACTGACCTATTAGCAAAGACAGATTTTGTAATAAATTGTAAATATACTTCATTTAGAATCGTGAAGAACAGAATCGTCATAATGAAGGTGGTCTAGATTTTACTTTCAGAAGCTATCTTCATCTAATTTTTATAAGGATTATTTTAGCTGTGTAGAATTAATTGGTAAAATCTTCAGGATTATCTATTAAAGTTTTTATAAGTATCAGATTTTTTAACTTAAACAGGGAGTACACACACACACACACACACACACACACACTTTTTGTTAATCTTTTTTATTTTTTGAGACAGAATTTTGCTCTTTGCTCTTGTTACTCAGGCTGGAGGGCAATGGCGTGATCTTGGCTCACCACAACCTCTGCCTCCTGGGTTCAAGCAATTCTCTTGCCTCAGCCTCCCCAGTAGCTGGGATTACAGGCATGCGCTACCATGCCCAGCTAATTTTTGTATTTTTAGTAGAGACGGGGTTTCTCCATGTTGGTCAGGCTGGTCTTGAACTCCTGACCTCGGGTGATCTACCCGCCTTGGCCTCCCAAAGTGCTAGGATTACAGGTATGAGCCACCGTACCCAGCCGCTTGGCTGTTCTTTACTTGAATTGGTTTCATTTTGTTGTTTCCTTTTTCCTTATGGAAATGCAAAGTCATCCCCTCAACACATACATCTGTGTGACACAGGCCTGGTGTTGCTGCTGTGGATAAGTGAAGAAGATGAGGACTGTGCCCAGAAATAAGATTTCCTTAGCACATTACAGGGTGTTAATTTCTCACTGAATAGAACTTTAACGGTATCTGACAAGGTTAGATGTGTAGGCATCTCATTGTCATTCATTTCTATGTAGTCTGTAATTTTGGTTTTGATTTTAAACATTTTATTATTGAAATGTCAAACACATACAAAAGTAGAAATATTAGAATAAATCTCCGTGAACAAACCACTCCACTTAATTATCAACATGTTGCCAATTTCGTTTCCAGCTTTTTGCCAATTATTTTTCTTTTCCTGTAATATTTTAATGCAAATGTGTCTATCTTCATTTCATAGTATGTATCTCTAACACAGGATCTTTTATTTTTTATAATCATATTGACATCATCCCTAACCAAATTAATATATGTAAATATCATTTAATATTTAGTCCATGTTGCCGAGTGCAGTGGCTCATGCCTGTAATCCCAGCACTTTGGGAGGCTAAGGCAGGCAGATCACGAGGTCAGGAGTTTGAGACCAGCCTGGCCAATATGGTGAAAACCCGTCTGTACTAAAATAAAAAATTAGCTGAGTGTGGTGGCGTGCACCTGTAGTCCCAGCTATTCGGGAGGTTGAGACAGGTGAATCGCTTTAACCCGGGAGAAGGAGATGGCAGTGAACCGACATCATGCCACTGCACTCCTGCCTGGGTGACAAGAGTGGTCTCAAAAAAAAAAAAAAATTAGTTAATGATGTCCACACTTCCCCCACTGTCTCCAAAATGGCTTTTTATGTTTTGTTCAAACCAGATCCAAGTAATGCCAACATACAGAATTTAGTTGATATGTCTCTTTAAGTCTCTTTTAATCTGTTAATGGTTGCCCTTCCCCTTGTATTTTTCATGCCACCTGTTAGTTGAAGAAATCAGGTAATTTGCTCTGTAGAATTTCACACATTCTGGATTTGTTTGGCATCTTCCTTGTGGTGCCCTTTATAGCCAGCCCTCCACATGTGCAGATTCAACCAACCTCAAATAGAGGATACTAAAAAAAAAAAAAAAAACTAAGAAAAATAAAAATACAATAAAAAATAATACAAATTGCAAAATACAGTATAACAACTATTTACATAACATTTACATTGTGTTAGGTATAAGTGATCTAAAGATAAAAGTATACAGAAGCATGTGTATAGATAATATGCAAATACATATTATGCCATTTTATACAAGGGACTTGAGCATCCTCAGATTTTACCATTAGTGGAGGACCCTGGAACCAAGTCCCCATGTATGCCAAGGAATGACCATACACTGTTCATCTATTCCACTTCTTTCAGTTCATTATTCCAGCAATAAGGCTTCATAGATGGTGGTGTGGACTCCTACTGCATTATGGCAGGAAGTGTATGTTGTCTGATAGACCCATTTTTATTAAAGTTAAAATAGATCAAAGCATTCAGAAGTGGTCAGCTTGATAAATCCACCAGAAAAATCTCACCATAAAATGTTTCGCCTATTAGTTGTAGTACCCATTGAAGATCATGTTTTCTGGACCTACATTATCCAATTAAGTTCTAGAAAACAGTGATTTTTCTAATCCTATAATTCCTTCTGGATTTATTAGGCTTCTTTAAAAAAGAAAAACCCATTCTTTTTTTTTTTTTTTTTTTTTTTTTTTTTTTTTTTTTTATTTTTTTTTTTTTTTTTTTTTTTTTTTTTTGAGACAGAGTCTCGGGCTGGAGTGCAGTGGCATGATCTAAACTCACTGCAACCTCTGCCTCTTAGGCTCAAGTGCTCCTCCCACCTCAATTGAAACTACAGGTGTATACCACCACACTTGGCTAATTTTTTATTTTTAGTAGAGATAGGGTTTCACCATGTTGACCAGGTTGCTCTTGAACTCCTAGCCTCAAATTATCCACCTACCTCAGCCTCCCAAAGTGCTGGGATTACTGGCATGAGCCCCTGTGCCAGGCCAAACCCATTTGAATTTGATGAACTTCTGATTACCCTGAAATTTGGTTCACATGGGAAAAGGAAACTAAATGACAATTTTTCCTCTGGTTTATTGATTTCAAGAATAATGAGTTAGGCTGGATGCTGTGGCTTATCCCTGTAACCCCAGCACCTTTGGAGGCCAAAGAGGGAGGATCACTTCAGCCCAGGAGTTTAAGACCAGCCTGGGAAATATAGCAAGACTGTTTCTACAAAAAAACAAAACAAACAAAAAAAACACAATTTTTTTTAAAATTAGCCAGGCATGGTGGTACACACCGTAATCCCAGCTACTCAGGAGGCTGAGACGGGAGAAACACTTGAGCCCAAGAGGAACAGGGTACACTGAACTATGGTTGTGCCACTGCACTCCAGGCTGGAGACAAAGTGACACCCTGTCTCACACACACACACACAAAAATGATAAATTGGTGCCCTGGCATCTTTCATAGGTAACCAAATTATGCAGCCACAATCAAGTAAGCTATCAAGTTATTGGTGGGATCACAGTAAAAACTCAACTTGAGACAACTACTGGTTAAAGATATGGCAATTTGAGCATCAAAAAGTATACTGAGTGGTATAGAATGATATTTTCTTTCTTCCCCACACACATAAATACACACAAAAATATTAAATTCCTAGGTGGTTCATTTCTTTTAAGCCATCTTTTTGATAGTTTCTAATTAATTTTGAACTGTGGTTAGATAATAGGGATTGTAAGCCTTTTGTTTTTGGAATTATGGGAAAATCGTTTCCTACTTCCCTCTAATTCTTTAACAGCTGTACTACTAAGGACCTCACATTTATGATATTCACAGGGTTTCTTTTTGGCATGACATTTCTAATGTAGCTCAAGTGCTGAAGAACTTCCTACATTCACTACAATCTAGATTTTACCTAGAATAAAATATGTTTAATAATTTCTGAGGTGACGGAGGCATTTCTACATTTATTATATCTATAGATCTTTTTATGTGAATTCATTAATACTAATGACAATAACAATTATAGATAATATTTACAGAATACATGCTATATTACTGTGATTCCTCCAAGTGTTAACTACTTACTCCTTACAACAATCCTATTCCAGTGTGGCAGGCTGACTCTAAACTGGCCCCCCAGTGGTCCTATCTCCAGGACCTATTCACACTCTTGTATGATCCCTTTCTCTTGAATGTTGGCTAGTCTAGTAACTTACTTCTACCAGTAGAAGGTGAGGGAATGCTACTTCCATGATTAGATTACAAAAGATTGTAACTTTCGTCTTGCTAGCAGACTCTACTGTCTTTTGGCTTGCATGCCTTGATGAAGCAAGCAGCCATGTTGATGAGGCTATTGTGGCCAGGAACAGCATTCAGCTAACAGCCAGCTAGAAACTGAGAATCTCAATGTAACAGGCCTCAAGGAAATACATTTGAGTAACAACTATGTTAGCCTCGATATGGATCCTTCCCCAGTTGAGCCTTCAGATGAGACCACAGCCTTGGCTAAAACTCTGTAGCCTTGCAAGAGGCCCTGAAGCAGAGGACCCAACTAAGTCATGCCTGGACTCCTGATCCAAATTGTGAGATATAAATGTATGTTATTTTAAGCTACTAAATTTGTGGTAATTTATTACACAGCAATAAATAACTAATACATATAAGTACTATTATTACTATTTTACAAGTCAGCAAAATGAGGCACAGAAGTTTAGTATCTTGTCCAATAAATCACACTGGTAATAAAGTGGTGAAAGGGAGATAAAGACAGATAAGGCTAAAGATTTTCCTACATTCATTACGTTATTCTCTCATAGGAATTTGCTAAAGATAAACTATGTTTAAATGGTGTGTTGGGATGCTTTTAAATCAACATATTCTTTCTCTATTATAAAATTTATC